AGCTAATATAAGAATAGGATCTAGTAAAATTACGCTGTGTGTGTGAGACAGAGTTGTACTTGGTGTGATCGAATAGTGCCTGTGAGAATAAAAGACTGCTAAAAACATTTTGTGAATTTTGGAGATCACTTAAGGAAAGAGGACGTTCTCCAAAGATGTGTTTTATGTGTGGCAGCGAAAATTATAACTTTCATGTTGAGATAAACAATTTCGTCAAGATCAATCACGGATGTATTGCACTATAAGAACAGCCGCGTTACCAGTAAAGCTTTGACTTTTTCAAACCAGTTATTGATTTTAATTCAAATTTTGACATGCCCTCAAACTAGCTGCCACTTATAACCGTATTTGTATACTGTCTGTCTCTTTGAAATATTTATTCAAGCTTACCTTAATTTCGCCCACTTTGGTAACAACTTTAACGACGCAGGAATGCTGGGTCACTATTTTCCCTCAGATTATATCATCCCACACGACGAAACATTGGCCACAATCAAACGGCGTATCAGGTGTTTCGTGTTTCTCACAAAAGCAGCGATCAGGGAACAGAAGGTTCACGGTGAGAACGTCTACTCTGCCTAAATAAGTTCCCGCGAGTCCTCAAACCCTGTGAATAATCTCAGTGAAAACTGCTTTCCCGGAATCAGTAAGGGAATATATAGAGTGAACAAGCTGAAAAAGAAAGGTGAGAAATTTTTATTTCATGTTTTGTTCAGGTAAACGATCACTGAACACTGGTTCAGGCCTTTTTGGAACAAGGTTACGATGATTTTACTCTCTGTTGAGTTAATATGTGCATGGAATAGCGACCAAATACCTTGGAGTTGTTTACACAATGGTTTGCACAAACTCTTAGAAAACTGTATTTGAAGAACGGGGAAGGAATCATCAAATTTTCAGTTTTACTCGAAGAAATACATCATTAATTTAACGATGTATGAGTTCTGCGTAAATCAAAGCCGTCGTGTCATTCCTAAGAAAGGCTACGAATCATTTGATAGTCGAACATATACCAATGAATATGCATTAATATCAATCTTCGCATCTCTGTTAGATTACGGGCTTTGCATCTACATTCGCCTAAACAGTGAACATGTAGTTACAATTTAGTCTACTCGAACACATTTCACCACATTTTAAGGCTAGTCTTTTGGTTTGAATAGCAACTTCTTTTGATTAAGAATGATCTTGACGACTTAGAGAAAATTTGCATGACAAGGTAGTCAGTATCACACAGAACGTGTGATTTCAAAACGTGGCTAGTACAAGGGACCAAGCGAGTTTTGCGTTACACACCTGACTGTGACCATCAAAAGTTTGGTCCACTATCTAGTTTGAAAATAGTCTCATTGCAAAATCCAGGCCTTTTTAATTCATAAATTTCGGGAGCACCCTAACAGACATATGAAGTACATGTAAACTAAATCGGTGACATGGTAAAAATTATTTATAATTTTATTCTTCAGGATCTGTATCTGAAGAAATGGCTGCAGCACCACATCCACATGAACTTCTCCGTTCAACGACTGGGAAAGCGAATTTTCAACGAATCGCTCGACTATTGATAGGTGGAGGAACGAGTCTAATGAGGGAAATCTTTGACAATAATTTGCCAGCGCCCACCCTCTCTGAAGCTCTAAGCAATCCTGCCACAGAGAAGCTGCTGAGAGCCAAGCTTACCAAACCGCAGTTGAACTGCATTTACCCCTCCTCGGGGGTGTGTGGTAATTCCGAAGATTTTGATATTAGTCTTCTCTTCCAGTTGCTGATAACAGTATGCAAGGTCATTCCCTCTAGCACTTCCTCCAAGGACTTAACTTCAACTACAGACAACAATCTGGCTAGAAATCTGCTTAGAATCAAATTATTCCGCACCGAAGTCGCCCATGTAAACCAGAACATGGAGATATCAGATGACGACTTTCAATCTCTATGGCAAAATATAAGCAGTGCCATCTTGGAAATTGCAGCTCACATAAGTCCTGGAAAGAGGAATGAGTGGCAGGACGCCATAGATGATCTTTTAAGAGGAGCTTTAACACCAGAGGCTGAAAAAAATGAACAGGAGCTAATAATGTGGTACCAAAATGATACAGATGTCAAGACGCGCATTGAGGAACTCCAAGAAGAGGTGGCCCGTAATACGAAAGCTGTAGAAGAAACACATGCATCTATTGAGGCACTCAGTTCACGTCTTGACGATCAACAATTTGGAGGTTAGTCCGAGAGGTTCTGTTCCCTTTTTGTTTTTACCGTCGAGGGAAATTCCTTTTATAGTGAGAAAATTCAGATAAATAAGTGAGCAAGGAAAGCAGGAGTAAAAGTTTCCCTCTTGAACCGGATTTTTTTTCGTGTTCATTT